CTCCTACATTTCTAACAGCATATGGAGAGCAGCTAGACTCAGCTTACACTATATGAAGTCATAAAAGATTTATGTATAATCCAGAATGCAATAGATTTTTAATAAAAATATGAACATGAAGTAGCTTAGATCTCAGGTTCTCTTACTATTGTAAAACTACATAAGAAGCTAACCTAAAATATGAAACTGGCTTGTCTAGCCTGAAATTGGAGCAGGGAGGAGTTAAATGGATTATTAAGATGTCTAAAGGCCCAATTAGCATTAATGACTATGCCAAGTGGATTGAACTTTTTATTTGGTTTCTTAAATTTAAAAAATAACACATACCTCTGTTTCACTTTAAAGTCACACAGACAAAGAGTGATGAGCTAAAAGAATAAAGAAGAGAAAAGAAAAAGCGTTTGCCTTTTATAACCAAGTACCCTGGATTAGTTGCAAGGCTGGTATTTGCTCTCCATCAAAGTTGGCTTGGCCCCAGGAGTTTAGAAGCTAAAAAGGATCTGGCTTAGCAAAGGAGAAACAGCTTGGAACAGCAGAGCCCAGTATGGCTGGAGGGCAGAGCTAGGTGGGAGGTGAGCTGAGGGATCTGGAATCAAGTAGGAGACAGTCACAGGAGTCACCTGTTACTCATCCCCAAGATCAGGAAACTATACAGTACTACAGGGATGGAAGGGCCCTTAGGGATCATCTAGTTTAACCTCTCATATTTGTAATGACTTGTTCAAAGACATAAAACAAATGTGTGGTCCAGTTGGGGTTAGACCCCCAGTTCAATGCTCTAATGTTACACTACACTGCTTCTTTCCTATTTCATATCAGGATCTGGAAGCCAAGATCCAGGGTCTGAAATGAAGTTTTAAAGAGAGCCCAGAGGAGAATGGGGAGAGTAGAAGGGAGAAGTGTGAGGGCAATATGACTCAAAGTGATGGCCCTGAAAACTGGTCCTACTGAACAAAATCAAGTCACTTAGTCCTTTAACTTTACTTTCTCATAAATAAAATCTATCCCAAAATAATTATAGTTAGTTCAGAGTTACCAGGAAGATGAAATGAAATAACATGTGTAAAAGAACATTAAAGGAACATTGGTACTTTTCCCTACTTACTGCAAACAAGAAATAATTTCATATTACTTTAAACTTTTTCACATTTGCATGCTAATGACCAGAAGGTAGAAATGAAGGAGATCTCATGATTAGAAAGAGAACAGGCTTACATATACAGAGAACATCTTGTTTTGTGAAATGAAATGAGTAATCACATTTTTTCCACATTGTATCACTTGTTCCTTAGCCAGGACAGTGAGATGGCTGAAGTTCTGCAGTTACTGAAGGTTACGTTACAGATCCGCCTACGGGTGTGGGGTAGGGAAGAAGGAAGTTGCTGGAGGAAACAACCTGGCTGCTGGAGTGATGCTGACCGAAGGACCTGGTCTGGAAATGCCAAGTAGATGGTCTCTTTCTACCTACTGAGCCTGGTCCTTCTGGTCATCTCTGTTAAAAATCTAAGATCTGCAGAGACACACAGATTGGAAGCAAAAACAGTCAGCAAATACCTCTGGAAGCATCGACCACACAGTGAATCATATTTCTTATCAGCATGGTGTGCAGTCAGAAAGGAATGCATGTCCAGCAATTCTTGGACACAGAGACTCTCAGCTCTTCTGGGTCTTGAGAACTGCCTAACTGCTGTAAGAGATTCACCGATTAAAATAAGAGTTCTCTAGTCAAGAAAGTGAGCAAATAAACCTCACTGAATATAGCCTGGATCAACAAGGCTTATTCTGTTTTAGTCTCAAGTAAACAAAAATGGCTCTGCTACCACTTCCAAGGCACTTTTCTTGCTGCTTCCACAGAGATATCTCACAAGGCCTGCAGAGGGATGGCAACTGACTTCTCACACCAACCCCAAGGCACTTGTTTCCTAAAGCATGTAGAGGGGTAGCAGCATTTTCCTGACACAAGATGTGTCTCATTTCCCCCACCCTCATCTCAAGTTCCCTCCATCTCAGTGCCACCAACCTAATTCAAGCCGCCCTTGCCTTTCCCTTCTCCATACATACCACAGTACAACCCATTCCCCACAGAGCAACCCAAATGGTTTTTTTAAAATAACAGCTTTGTTGACGTATAATTTACATACCATAAAATGCACGCTTTTAAAAGTGTGTAATTCAGAATTGTGCAAACATCATCCCTATTTAATTTCAGAACATATCATCATCTCAAAAAGAAACCCCCTACCTATTAGTCATTCCCCTTCCCCCTGGCCCCTGACAACCAGTAATTTTTCTCTAGGTTTTTGCCTATTCTAGACATTTCATATAAATGCAATTACATGACCTGTGGTCTTTTGTGACTGGCTTCTTTCACTTACCATAATGTCTTTAAGATACATGTATGTTGTAGTATGCATCAGGACTTCATCCCTTTTTATTGCCAAATACTACTTCATATGGATATGCCACATTTTACTTATCTATTCATCAGAGGTTAAATATTTGGATTATTTCAACTTTTTGCTATAACGAATAATGCTGCCTTGAACATTCATGACACATTTTTGTGTGGACATATATTTTCTGTTCTCTTGGGTATATATCCACAGGTGGAATTGCTGGGTTACAGGTAACTCTATGTTTAATATTTTGAGTAACTTCCAAACTGCTCCCATAGGGGCTACAGCATTTTACAGTTTTACTAGTTATGTACAAAAGTTCTAATTTCTCCACATTTTAATTATAGCCATACTCATGGGTGTGAGGTGATATCTCAATGTCTCATTATGGCTTTGATTTACATTTCCCTGTTGACTAATGATGTTGAATTATTTCAAGTGCTTATTGGCCATTCAAACCCTTTGCTCATTTTTAAAAAATGGGGTTTTGTTTTGTTTTTTTTTGAGAGAGAGAGAGAGAGAGAGAGAGAGAGAGAGAGAAAGGGATAGTGGAAAGAAGAGAGAGCAACATCAGTACAAGAAGCATCGACTGGTTGTCTTCACATGCATCCAGACTGGAGGTCCACACTGGGACCAGGGGTTACATGTGTCTGGACCAGGGATGAATAGCAACCTAGGTACGTGTTCTGACTAGGAATTGAACCTGCAACCTTTTGGTTATGGGATGACACTCCAAACACTAAGCAATACCAGCCAGGGCTGGGTTGTCTTTTTGTTGTTGAGTTATGTGTCCCTTTTGTATTCAGGATATAAGTTCAGGTGATTTTTAAAAAGTAAATCAGCTTTGTCACATCCCCTATATAGTACCCTCTAATGATTCCCTACTATGTTTATAATAAAATCCGAATTCCCACTCTGGCTCACAAGGTCCTGTTTCAGACTATGCCACTCTCCCCCTCACACGGCACACTGCATGGAGTTGGAGCAGTCGTTCCCAGCACCAGTGGTATGTTTGCCCCAGCGCACATTTTCGTGTGGACAGATGTCTTCTATTCTCTTGGGCATATATGGTACCCACGAGTGAAAATGCCTGCTTGGAATTCTCTTTCCTGAATGGCTCCTTCTCACCATTCAATTCAAACATCACCTTTTCAGACAAACGTTCTTTAAAAGACATTGTATCTAAAGAAGCTGCCGCTTCACAAAGAGGAAGAAGAAAACTTTGGGGGTTGATGGATATATTCATCATCTTGATTATAGTAACAGTTTCATGGATGCATACCTATGTCAAAACTTTTCAAATTGTACATTTTAAGTATTTTTCATTTATTGTACTTTCTACTTTCATGAAGCTGTTAAACATTTAAAAACTCCCTGCACAATCACACCTTCAATGTCACTACCTTATCATACTTTACTTCCTTAGGAGAAATCGTGTGTCTGAAATTGCCTTGTTTATTACTTGATTTGAGTGCTTACCATCCCATCCCAGCAGAATGGAAGTGCCACATGGGCATGAATGTTGCTCATCTTTCTAACTGCTGTGCCCTCAGGCTGGTTCAAAGTTAGGTAGGTGCTCAATAAACAGTTGGCTAATTTAATGAATGAATCCAGGAAAGGTTTAGAAGAGACCCATATATAATACAAAGGATGACTTTCTATTCTCTCAGATTCATCACTACTTTAGACTTAAGAGGATAAGATATTATTCCCTTTATTAAGAGCAGCTATCTCAAACTCTATCCTGGATAATTTCCAACATTATCATTATTAGAAATATCATTTACTATTTAAGTACTCTGTAGTGCTATTCTAGCAGTTTATATACTTTTTCTCTCATTAGTAGTTATTTTTATAATAATAGTATTATAATAATAACAGCATATTATAATATAGTAATAATATAGCAATTATAACAATATTATAACAATTATAACAAGTATAATATACAATCACTATATTAGCAGCAATACAATAAAAACATTTATTTAGCACTTACTTTTTGCCAGATTTTATGTAAGCACTTTACCCACATAATCTCATTAATCCCTCACAATAACTTTATGAAGCAGGTAGGTATTCTTTCACAGATGAGGAATTTGAGGTTTGGAGAAGTGAACTAACTGATAAAAGTCACACAGCTGGAGCTCAAACCTGAGTCCAGCTTACTTCAAAGCCCAAGCTTTTCCCACTGTGCTGCAGTGCTTCTCAAGTATTTTTATAACACAGTGCTACTCCAGCCCATATAAAAGGCCCAAAGAAATGAGGAAGCTGTGCACCTAGAGAATGATACTACTCAAACTCTGAATAGGTTAGAAAAAAACATAAGAGAGATGAGAAGCTAGCTGCTTGAGAATAATCCAAGATATTTAGAGGAAGGAATTACTTATTTTATCACAAACTCCATGCCTACCTTCATTTGACATTTTATTCTTACTGTTTCTAATCATTGTCAGGTACACTTTGGTTTTACCTCAGTTGCTCACCCCTGCTCCTCCTCTGCCTACCAGTGAGGTTTATTGGTGGAGATATGCTTACCATGAGAAATCTAGGTAATCTCCACCAGTTCAGGTCCTGATTTCAAGAACTCAGATGGATCTTTACCTTTAGTGCCAGGTGGCTGTAGGTTGTCTCCAGTCAAGGAACACCAGCCCACAGGGAAGATGTCGCGGGAGTCGAAGCGGCACCAGTAGTCAAAGGCTCCTCGCCACCCATCAAAAGTGACAAGCACCTCTGAGCCCCTCACTTCCCCAATAGTGGCTGGGCAAATGAAATGAGGGTTCTTCCTGTCCACAGCTTCCAGCTTCATCCCCATTTTGAAGAAGTTGTGGGAAGGTGATGGTGGTTCCTAGATGAGAAATGGAAATATACAGACCTAGGCACAAAGAGAGAGGCCATGTATGCCAAAAGACTGCTACGTCGCTTAGGTGACTAAAAAGGGACTGCTATCTACAATTTATAATGGAGATTTAGTCTTTTCTTCCAAATGAATGTCAAAGAATACTAAAGAATCACTTTGTTAATCCTAACATTGTGACCTCTTTGCTTCAGTATTTTTCGAAGAAGTAAAAGGTAACAGAAAAAGTTGAACCTCCTTCTGTGCTCTCCCCCATCCCATTACCCTTGTATGTTTTTATATTTTACCATATAAGTACATATCCATTTGCATATTTTAAATTTTATATAGATAACATTATACTGTACATATCATTCTATAAGTTATTTGTTCAACATCACGTTTCTGAAATTTATCCATGTTGATAAATGTAGGTCCTATTCATTTTGATTACTAACAGTATTCTATTATATGTATATATCACAATTCATTCATTCTTTTGATGGACATTTAAGGTTTTTTCCGACTGTATACTATTTCAAAATTTTAATGGCCATTCTTATACTTGTTCCTTTTACACAAGTGTAAGGGTTTCTTTAGGATATATACCTAGGAGTAAAATTATTGGGTTATAGGATATACACATTTCTGCTTTATTAAATATTGTTACATTGCCTTTGTTACTAGTAAACACATTAAAAAAAATTTATTTTTAGAGAGAGGGGAAAGAAGGGAGAAAGAGAAACATCAATGTGTGGTTGCCTCTCGCATACCCTATTGGTAGAGCTGGGACCCAAAAATCAGGATTCATAATTTAGAGTCTAGTATTCCTCTGGGGACAACTGCTGCTTCATAAGGTACTAAATATTCCTTCTGCAGAACTAGTTTCTGAGAAGGCATCCTCAGGCCATAAATATCATGTAGACACCAGAGGCTCAGTAATTGAAAGGATATACACATTTGATTTTAAGCAGTTTGGAGCTGGTGATATCTGAGGAAAACCATACCTTATGGAAAATCCTGACGGGAGCCATTTCTGCTCCATTTAGTGTCTTCAAAAGGAACATGGGCCAAGAGGAGGCATTCAGCCGAAATCCTGCAGCAAACATAATAGGCAACAGATGAAAAATATGTTTCAAAGGGAAAGACAATATCAAGTTTTCCCCTTGGAATCCAGCTACTCCTCCACAACCTATACTGTGATAAGTTACAGAATCATAGATTGTTAGGAAAGGACTTAAAGGTTAAATAGAAGAAATGCCTCATTAGACAGATGAGGAAATGAGGCACATGGAGGGAATGTAACTTGCCCAAGTGTAATGTTGCAAAGTAAATAGTGGAACAAAGTCCCTAGCCAAGTGTCCTGACTTTGAGATAAGTATCACAGATTATTTATCATAGTGCCTAAAAAGTTTTCCTTGAAAAATCCAAAATAGATGTGAGAAGATTAACAAATACTTAGAAACTGTCTAGACAGTAGAGTATGAAAGTTATTCTTCTTAATAATCTCATAAGAAGACGCCCAATATGTTAACCGATTAACCTAATACACAAGTAAATTGTTTTGTTTTATCTCAACATAAACCCACTATTTCTTTCTCTCTCTTGCTTTCTCACTCTCTAGTGTGCTCTCTCTCTTTCCATCTCTCTTTCGCACTTCTCTTTCACACACACACACCAAGTACAAACACTTTTTCATATTCATTTTTACTTAAACAACTAAGGATCAGGAAATGATGAAGATGAAAGGGAACACCCTATCCAAAACTATTTATTACTTTTACAAAAAAAGTAAAAAGCCTGGAGATGTTAATTGTCCACTGTCATTCAGTAAAGTCAATAAGAATGTACCATTAATAAACTACAAAAATAAGATTGTTATTGTAGTCAGTTCTTCCAACCTCTAGTGGAAAGAAGCTCCCAGTACTTCTTTCAATTTGGCTTCAACTCTCTCTCCTGATACCAAAATCTAGTCCTTTTTGATAGTTTCTCAATGTACCTCAGTTTTCCCATTCCTGACAAAAGAACAGATAGGCTGGACCAAAGCTTCAGTCCTGGAAAATTACAATAGAAACTGGTATTACTGAATTCTTTATTGTGTGCCAGACACTGTGCCAATCACTTTCCACTGACTACCTAATCCTCAAGACAACCCAGCGAGGTAGACATTATCTTCATTTTCTAGATGAGAAAAGAGGTGTAAAGTAAACTGCTTAAGATTTCTAAGTGAGCAAATGACCAAGTATCAAAACCCAAGCTATCCTTGAGTCCATACTCTTAACCACTATGTTAAACTATCAGTATGTAGATAAAATGAAAAAGGGAGAATCAGCTTTTGGGCTTAAGTATTCATTAATAACTATAATTAAATTAACAAGGAAGAGGTGAGAAGAAGAGAAGAAAATGGGAGAAGAGTTATCATACTATATGATTTAAACTTTTAGTCTCAAAGTTGGTTAGGCTAAGCCAAGCTTCCCAAAGTCCGATTTCTTGGGATAGCTCATTCACATCAACAATGGTGACAGCATTATGAATGCTCATCACTTAATCTAAAACTGCCATCACTTACTTTTTTGCTTGTCTACCTTTTTTTCCTTTTGGAAAAGACCCTATCCTAATCTATGTGTTTTGTTGGGAATGCCTGTCACACGGCTCTATCTACCTGACCACGGAAAGGAAAATAATGCCATTTAAGAGCATTAGATTTCCATAGACCAAAAGTGGACATGTACATCCCAAGTTCGGTCAACTGTTTTCTGATGTGATATATGCATGCTGGAGGACAGAGTCTCTTTATCTGAGATCACAGCAAGAAAGATGTTTGTAGATTTGGCACTGCTACATGGAGAACAAAACTGAGAATAAAGCCAAGGTGGGCATGTAATGGAGAGATATGAGAGTGTTTACTTATTTTATATTGATTTTGAGAGAGAGAGAGAGAAACATCAATTTGTGGTTCTACTTATTTTTGCATTCATTGGTTGTTTTTTGTATGTGTCCTGACTGAGGATCAAACCCGCAACCTTGGCATATTGAGATGACTCTCTAAACAACCAAGCTACCCGGCCACGGTTAAGACATGAGAATGTTTAAAACCCTGTGTCTAGACACACACTCAACACCAGGCCTTAGGCTTCTCAGTTACATGAGTCAGCAATTCCCGTCTCCTTTTTTTCTCCTCTAAACTGGTCTGAGTTGGGTTTTTGCACTCACTGCTCAAAGAGTGTTGGCCACTACTCTTCCTCTGACCATGGTTAAAAGGAAACAAATAAATCTCTCCAGAAATTCAGGTACAGAGCCTGGTCTGTGTGGGGGGAAAACAACTCTCCTTAAGTCAGGGACAGGTTGAAGCAAGCCAAACTTAGAGCACATTTGCCATGAGTGGTTCAGTACATCTGTGGAAAAGGCAAAGCAAGGCACAGCTGTTCTAGAAAAGTGCTTGGTAAAAGATAGTAGGGAGAAAGACCTGCAACAAGTAGAAATACCATATTCAGGCCCTAGGTTCCCAATACTAGAAAGCCTCACCATGTGACGGCCAATTCCAATTTTTTTAGGATCAGGTTATTGAGGGGCTTCTTTCTCACCTGGAACTTGAAGAACTAAAAAAACCCTCTCAGCTTTGGGAACCCTTATAATAATATTATAATAGCTAATATGTATTGACTGCTTTTAATGTAGTAAATATTTTACATGCAGTTTCTTACTGGGTGTTTTAAATAGTACCATGAGGTACACTCTATTGTTATCCCTAGTTTGCAGATGATAAAACAGAAACTCAAGAGAAGTAGCTTGTCCAAGGTAATAAGTGGTAGAGGCGGATTCCAATATATGGTGGTTTTACTCCAGACCTCATGGTTCTTAACTAGCATGTTTTACTACCTCCTAGCAAGCTTCTTCAATAGTAAAAGGGCAAAGCAGAAATGTTGCCAACTGAAGGAAGTACCAAGGATCCTTATCTTCACCTCCCAAGGTAATGTGGGACTACCCACCTTGCTCCAAATTCATTTTACATTATGGATGACAAAACTGAAGTCCAAAGAGGCTAGGGAATGTGTTCATGGCCATATAAGTTGCTCTCACAGAGTCAGACTTGAGCCCTAGGCCTTTCCATCCAGCTCTCTTTTGCTACACTGTGCTGCCTTCCAAAGGGAACACTGAGTCACATACTATGTGCCAGTCTCTGTGTGTTAAACAAGCACTTCAAGTGGGTTATCTCAATTAATCATTACTACAACTCTGTGAACCAGATACAAGAAAGGGAGCACTAGCTCTGGAGCTAGCTCTGACACTTAACCTGGTGTGTAACTTGTAAATTACGAAACCTCTCTCTGGCTTTAGTTTCCTCAACAATAAGAGTGGTAACTACCTCAGTGGGTTGTTCTAAGGCTTAATGCATGTGTAGTACTTAAAATTCTGCCTGGTATATAGTAAGTATTAGATAAATGCTATCCATTATTTTTAATACTATAGATGAAAAGACTGAGGTTAGAGAAGTAAAATATCCAAGGTTACAATTTTACTTAAGTAAAATATTCACGAGGCAGGATTTAAATCCAACTCCTCTGTTTCCAGAGCCCTTATTATTAATCATCACATAAGTATCTTCAAGTATTTCTTCACTCAGTTCTTCCATACTGTCTCTTTTGGTAAAAAAGAGTTGAAGTCATAAATTTGTGAAAGCAGGAAAAGAAGAATAAAAAATAATTTGAAGGTCTCTTCAAATTAGACAATGGCCTGGGGCGTTTGCAAGGAAAAGGACAGGTGGGTAAGAGATCCTAATCTCTAAAGGTGGGAGTACCTCAGTGCCTGGCCCTTGCTTGGTTCCCACTCTCTTCCTGTCAAATAATGACTGCCAATTCACATCTCCAGCCCACATCTCTGCCCTGAGTTTCATGCTCTTATTTCCAACTGCCTTATCCTGTAACTCTACACGGATGCCAAAAATTCTTGAAATGAATAGGTCTAAACAGAATCTTGACTTTGCTTCCCCCTCCAAACTTGTTCTTTCCTCCAGTCATCTCATCTCATCCCAGTGAATGTCACCACTTATTAAACCCAGGTACTCAGGCCAAAAAGCCTACACAAAGTCACTCTTGATTCTGCCCTTGCTATTAATCAGCGAGTGTTGATGGCTCTTTCATCTTATACACACTAACTCAAACCATTTCTCACTATTATATATTCTCGTCCATTACTAATCACCCTAATGTAAGCCACAGTCAGACTTTGCCTAGGCTACTGCAACAGCCTTGTAATCTAGACTCTCAGCTTCTACTTTTGCCTCTTACTGTCTGTTCTCCACATAGCAGCCAGAATAATATGTTCATGTTATTTCAAATATAAATCCAACTACATTCTTATGCTTATATCCCATAATACAAAATAAAGCTGAACTCTTTATGCTTGCTAACAACACTTACACGGTCTGGAACTTGCTTACTTCTCATAACTCATCTCCTATCACTGCCTGGTCCCCCATGCCCTGGTCTTTCTCTTCCTCAAACACACCAACCTGCATCCCTCTGCCACAAGCACCCTCCCCTTTCCTTAAACCTTTAGCAATTAGTTCTTTGTTGAAGTCTCAACTCCGCAGAGAGGCATTCTTAGACTGCCCTATCTAAAATGGCATCTTAAATCCTGCTGCCTTCTATTTATCCTCAGCTTTATCACTGCGCCTGAATTTTCTTTATTTTTTCTTTGTAATGTGTATTTTCCAACTCGAATATAAGCTTCATAAGAGTTTTATTGAACAAAGAAGAAATCTCCACTTATTAAATGGGAGCCAGGAATTGATGGGTGCTTTATCATGCTATTTCATTTAATTCTCACAAAAAACATGTGTGGCAGAGTTTACTAATGATTCACTCACAATGGCAGGTGACACCATTGAGATTCAAGGTTAAAAGTCAAGGTAAAGTAATTTATCATTGGCCACACAATTAAACTAATAAGTGGCTGAGTGAATATTACAAAGCCACGCCTCTTTAAACCTAGGCATGCTGCAAGTGTTCTGTGCTTACCTTAAAATATTGATATGGAACCAGTTATAAAGAGCTTCCAGGTGCTCCCCAGATGGTGGGACTACTGAATAGATTA